CCCAGGGGGGGGGGAGTGGAGGCTGAGAGGCCTGTGGTGTCCACCCTCCTGAGCCTTCCTCCCAGCACCGGGGTCAGCCCTGCAGAAAGGGAGCTTCTCCCAGGAGGAATTGCTTCCCTAGGAGAGGAGGAGGAGGAGGAGATGCCAGCCCCAGGGTTTCAGGGCAGTCGGGACTTGCACATCTGGGAAGGAGACAACTTTGGTCTTGCTGGGGTATCGGGTGGCCGAGATGGCTGGTTTAACTGCACGCCCTTCTCGTTTCCCTCCGCAGGCTGATGGGGCCGCTATGGAGAAGTAAAGGCTTCGCTTCCTGACCTTCCAGCCAGCCCACCCACGAGGACGGTGGGGCCGCTTCCCTTCTGGTGCTTGGCCTCCGTCAAGGTAATGGGGGAGCCACTGTGAGGTTAGGGTGCGAGCAGTGGGCAGAGGACACAGGGCTGCTCTGGTACTTTGCCCAGGTACGCGCAAACCCAGGAGGGTTACAGAGCTGAATTTTGCTAGGGCCTCCTGCTTCACTCTGCCCGGACAGCGACATCTTTGTGAATTTGCGTCATGTGACGCCAATCTTACTTCTCTCAACAGCTCAGTGCAGTTCTGACGTAATGTCTCTGTAGAATAGTTTTCCTTTACAAATATTTCGGGGCTGATGGTATGGCTATCCTTTTGATTTTATTAAGCCATTGCTCTTGGGGGTTTGTTTTGTATTCTGTAGTGGCACGATGGCGGAACTATTTATGGAATGTGAGGAGGAGGAGCTTGAACCCTGGCAACAGAGCACTAAACCAATTGTTGTGGAGGATGAGGAGGACGATGACGAGCCCATCTTTGTGGGGGAGATTTTGAGCTCCAAACCAGCCAATACATGTAAGATGGTGCCTGGCAGTATTTTGAGGGAAAGTGTGTGCCGGATGATTCCTGAATGGGTAAAGATTTGACTGTTTGGGGGGGGGGGTTCCGGGGTTCCATGCTTCAGAAAGCAAACCTCTCCCAGGGCATGTTTGTGTGCTTCAAAGGCTAATAGGCTCCAGGGTATAATTTCTCCTACTGGAAATGGTGGGAAAGCCCCCATTGGATGATTTGTGCTTCCCCAGGTTCTATGTTAACAGGCTTAGGCACGAACCCAGGTTTCTAGATGGATCCTTCTCCACTGTCCCTCAGATACCTGGTCCAAGGGGTTGAAGAAGTTCAGCTAATCTGTTTCTGTAGCTTCATCCCGCTGCTGATGGGTTCCCTCATGTGGCTGGACATATCAAGCAACAGTGACTACTTAGTGGTGTGTTTGCTAAAAATGCAAAGGAAATGCTCCTGGTGTTTAGCGGCAGAAAAGGTCGGTTTAAGGTTTGGTCAGTTTTGACTGCTTCGTTGCAGCTTCTCCCATCCTTTTTTAATAATCTGTGTGTGTCAGTTTTTAGCAACGTGCCTTATGTTAAATGTGATCCCTTGAGCCTTAAGTTTTTTTGACATGGTAGACTACTAACCAAGCATGTTGTCCTTGCACCATAAGTCTTATTGACCTGCTTAATGCATAAAGCTCAGAATTGCAGGCTTAACAATCCGTCAGCCAAAGAGTTGCCCTGAGACATACCTAAGGGGACAGCTGCAGCACGATCCTAGCCAGGTTTACTTGCTCCGGGGTATACAGGAATGCAGCCCTAACTTGCCACCCAAAATCCAGACTCCTGAGGGCCTCAGTTGCAGAGAGAGACTTGTTCCTGCGAGAGAGGGCGGGAGATGCTCCTGGGAGCCTAACAACTTGTGCAGGCATCTCTGTCCTCTTTCACAAGTTTGCTGCACAGGAGGGTAAACTCGTAGGTTCTATTTTCAGTACACCAAGGTGCTGAACAGTTAAAGGGCCCTTCTTGGGCAAAAACATACAACACCCATTTGCTCCTTGGCTGCACTAGCAGCTACACGGCCAGGGACTGACCAGCGCATTTGGGTCTTGTCTGCACTAAAGAGCATAACATCGGAGGTATCCTGGAATAATCTCTGAGCCCGTTTGCCTCTGTCGCTAGCTCTCGGATAAGGCATCTGGCTCTTGGGCGGAGGCGCTGCTCCATGCTGCCTTGGCCGGTGTGTGCAACCACTTTGGGCGAAGGAGTGATTCTGGGATGTCTAGTGTCCACTCAATAATACTTGTGCCTTTACGGCACAAGTGAGGGGTTGATCAGGGTCTGCTCCCCACAAACTACCTGGAGACTGGAGGGTTATGAGTAGGGGAAAGAGGCTGGAGAGACTGTTGCCAGATGCGCTTAAAGATATTTAGTTATCCTGCTTATCAAAGAGAGCAGGGTTACGGGCCTCTTGGACTGGCTTGCTGGTTACCCATTGAGAGGTGTCAGCTGCTGCTTTCGCAGGTGTGAAGATTTCCTCTTGTACATTTTACAGGCTGGCAGACATTTGTATACTTGCGCTGGCCACATTTCATGGGGGAGACCTGCTGCCGCTTGCCTGATCGCGTTCATGCGAGTGTAATTTGACTTTCTCCTAAGCTTGTAGCAGAAATATCTTATGGACTTGGTGCAATCCTCCCTTTCCAACAGATATATTAAACAGAGTCCACCCCAGCTCGCCACGCACGGCAGTGCAGAACGGGACGCCGAAAAGAGGTACGGCCCTCTCATTGGGGTGACTTTAAAGCTCTTGCAATGGCATGTGGCAGTCTGTCACGACTGTCTGTGACAGTTGAGGTCAGGCATTCTTGCCGGTAACTGCAGCTGCTTTTCCAGGGTTCCAGCCGCTGACCCGACCTGCTGCAAGCACGCTAGCCGTTCAGCCCCAGCCGCGGGCGGGCAGTCTTTCAGGGACTTCACCTGGCCTGCAGAAGCCCCTCCCCGGAGGCTCTTCACCCCAAGAGGCAGCCAAGCCGAGCGCTGGCATCTCTCAGCCCGTTAGCAGATCTGCCCCAACGCCGTCGATATCCGGGAACCTGAACATACCTGCCATGGCTCCGTCTGCGGCCCGGCCGGTGGCGACGGTGACTGCGCAGCCAGCAGCGCTCCATCGGGTAGATATTTTCTCTTCTCGGAGGGTTTTCCTGTGTTGTATCCTGGGTGCTACTGGGTACTTTTGTGAACATCACCTGGGGCTAAACTTTTAAAACATTTCTTAGGTTGGCTAATGTGGCATATTTGAGCTTGAAACTAATCTAGCTAGTAAGAGCGACAGGCAAATGTTTGTGCATCAACAAGAGCAGTCTTAGAATACAAATTGTGCCATATTAGAGACTTAAAGTCTTTCTTACAATTTAAAAAAAATATATTTACAACAGTTTAACAGCCAGTTGTGTGGCCTACAGACCTTTCATGCGTGGTGTCAAGTCCAAGTGCATTAATGTTCCCGACGACCAAATCAGATTGAGGCATTGGGTCATTGTTATCACTCCCGCAGGGAGCCACTTCTCAGTGTTAGGCAGCAGAACTCCGGCTCCCTTGCATGTGTAAACAGGGGAGAGGACTTGATAAGCAGGAAATTTAAAAATGTGCCACAAATACCTGTAGCTGTTACAATACTGAAGGACTCGTTTCAAACCGAGATCCTGAAATGTATTTATTTTATTCATGCTGAATGTATTTTATTTACCATTGAATTCTTCCAGCTGTTCGGGCACTGGGTATGGAACAAAAACTGTCCAATGTATCAGTGAATCCTGCAGCATTTGTGTGTTGAATCTGAATGCTTAGACACTACGTGTTACTAGATTGAACTGGGTAGCCGCCGTGTTTGTCTGTAGCAGTGGAAAAGAGCAAGCATCTAGGAGCACCTTAAAGACTAACAAAATCTGTGGCAGGGGATGAGTTTGTGGCCGGGTAGGAGCTTTTGTGAGTCACAGCTCGTTTCATCAGATAAAGAAGTGAGCTGTGACTCACCAAAGCTCTACCCTGGCACAAACTCATCCCCCGCTACAGATTTTGTTAGTCTTTAAGGTGCTCCTGGACTCTTGCTTTATCTGTTACTGTCTAAGTCTCCAGAACTGGGCTTCTGTTTCAACTTTGGATGCAGCTGGGCAAGTCCGTGGAGATACCCCTATCTCTTTGTCCTTGCACTCACTTTTTTTCCCTCGTGTTCTCTGTTTGGCTGGCACCGTCAGGCACCTAGTAGGCCCTAAAGATTACTGGGGTCCAATGCTCCCTCTAAGCTGTGGAGTCTTGTGAGCAAAAATTCTGCTTTGTGAGCTGCTGGCATTAAAGTTGTGAGCGATAGATTTGGCTGCTGCATAAATTAGTTTGCTCTGGAGCCACATCCTTCCTGAGCCAAGGCAAAAAACGTGTGAGCTGGAGGCTAAAAACCTGTGAGCTAGCTCACACTGACTCAGCTTAGAGGGAACACTGCTGGGGTCTCATTGTGTTTTGCACTGGGGTGGGCGGCCTGCCACCCCCTTCTGTTCCTGTCCTTGTGTGATGGATGGGCTGAGTTGGGATGGTCTAGTGGGCGGGGGGAATGCTGCACTTGTACCCCACAGCCCTTTTGTCTAGGTAGTGAGCGCCTTCCACCCTGCCAGCGAAGAGGGTGCCTCCTGGTCAAAGGCTCCCCCAAGTAGCATCTTCTCAAGAAGGTCGTTCTAGGTCCTTCAGGAGGAGAAAGAGGACTGGGGGAAGTGTGTGGATGCTGTGAAGCCGAGCTGGGAGCCTGCCTTTGGGACTGGGAACATTCCCAAAGGAAAGATGCACCGGTGTGCTGTGAAAGCCTGGTGGCACGTGCTTGGTGTCCACCCCCTCGGTTGCTTTCTGTCACTGCCCAGTATTAACAGTTGGTTCCACTGAAGAGTTTCTTTGGGGTGCCAATTTGTGCTCCAGAGTGGCTGGAGATGGCCAGAGTGGCTGGAGATGGCCCTGCATTCCAGATGGAGGCAGCAGAAAGCCTCTTCGGAAGAAGCCCTTTGTTGTTCCACTGCCAGTCCTAGCCGGTGAGCAGGATGGTAAGATGGGTGGCTGCCCTGGTATCGCCGGGTCTGGGCTCCAGCGGGCAAGGAAGTAGCCGTGCGATGACCCAAGGAGGGTTTCGAAGCAGAAATAAGGAGACCTGTTTAACTCTGTGACACTGAAACTCGTGTCAGTAAAAGTATAATAGACACTGAGAATGTGCTTATTGGGATTGTGATGACAGAACTGGAAACTCTGTTTATGTGCCTTCAGAATGAAAAGATCTGGATTTTCTTTTTAATCCGGTGTACACTCTTGAAATGCTTCAGCTGAGCTAATTAATGAAACCTTCCACAGGCTGCCCCGACTAATACTTCCAGCATAGTTTTTGGCATAAGGCAGAATTCAGGAGCAGCCCTGTGTCCAAGCGGAGCAGCAGTGACAACCACAGGTACGTGTAACGACACATCCTGCGTTCTGGTTGTCTCACAAACACTTCCTTTTCATGCCTGTCAATACAATCAGGAAGAAGTGACCGAAATCCAAAAGCACGTGTCGACTGGCGACAGCAGAGGTCTTTCACGTCACCTGTCGCCTGGTCCTTTAGCTGGGGATTGAACCTGAGACCTTCTGCATGCCAAGTGGGTGCTCTGCCACTGGGCCACGGCCCCTCTCCTGTATTGTGTGAAGTCATGAAGCTGCCTGGTACTGAATCAGACCCTGGGCCCATCAAAGCCGGTACTGACTCCTCAGACCAGCAGCGGTCCTCTGTGGTTTCAGGCGGAGGTCTTTCCCGTCACCTGCTGCCCGATTCTTTTTACTGGACATGCCGGGGATTGAACCGGGGACCTTCTGCATGCCAAGCAGGGGCTCTTCCACTGAGCCAGAGCGTCACATTTGCACAGATGCCCTGGGATGGTCGATGGACAATCCCAAGTGCTGGAGTTGCCTTTCTAAGCCCTAATAAGCAGCTTGGTCCTCCCCAACTTCCTAAAGAGCCTCCCCCCCCCCCGCATCTGATCTCCAGACTGTCATTCCGTGAGGCATCTGTGAGTGTACCAAGTTGGGTGGCAGCATCTTAAACAAATTATCGGTATACTTACTGATGCTGAGTGGCAGCTGTAGCCTGGAGCTCCGGAGGCAATCAGATTTAATGCATTCCGACAAACAACGTTTGCACCATTGGTGATAACTCTGCTCACGGTCACCTTGAGGAATGAGGCCTCATGGGTGATGGAGTCTCGTTGAAAATGCGTCTCACTTCCGAGGGGCAGCTTGGCTGCAAGGAGGGTTGTGGGCAAAACGAGAGAGTCCCGCCTTTCCCGGGGAGGTGTTCCCTCTCATTCTGGCCTGCTCTGAAGGTCGCGTGTGATTCTGAGCGGCCCGGCTGAGATGCCTCAGAGGAACCTCCTTGCGGCTAAGAGCCACCGGGATCCGTGCATTCAAGGCCCAGCAGAGCAAGGGAAGCCTGGATTGGGGAGCAGGGTGCCTGGCTGGCTGGGGAACGAGGGGTCGGAGGATCTCCCGGGAGACGGAGATGTCTTTCATTTCCAACCATCACAGGCTTGGCCAAGCGCCCAGCTTCTACCGAAGTGAGCAGCGTTAGTCCCAAAAAGGCGAAGGCTGAAGAGACGGGAACCGGGAGCAGTCCGCCTGTCGCACCTTCGGTGAGGTCTCCCAACGAGATGCCCTTGCTTCAGAAAGGTAAGGGGTATCGGAGCCCTGCTGCCCAGGTGGGAAACGGTGAAGCTGGTCTTAATACCGGGAAACAAAACAGCAACACTTGCGAGGAGGGATTCTTAAGAAAGAGAAGTGACCGGGTATCGCTATAGGGAAGCTTTGGATTTGCATGCAGCCCGCCCGATGCAGAAAGCGGTCTGGGTGTGTGAAGCTGAACTCTCAGGTGCAGTCAGAATGTAGGTGAAGAACCCGGTCTAACTCCCTAAAGTGATGAGAGGGGCGAAGCACATTTATATTTATTTACTTATTTATTTATTCGATTTGTATCCCGCCCTCCTTGCGTAGCAGGCTCAGGGTGGCTTACAGTAGATTAAAATACATTAAAACACAGATGCATTGAAGCAATGCAATAACGTACACATCTGGGTGAACTGCATGTGCTTAGAAACGAGTCCCACGGAAGTCCCTGTCGCTGTTTCTGAAGGCAGGAGCATGTTCCGGTCTTGGTGGATCCCCTCCACAAATATGCAGGTATCTGTTTTTCAGTACAAAGACTTAACAACGCAGCTTATAGTATAAACTGGTTTAGAAATGTAAGTCAAAAGTTGCTTTGTCGTCCCTCCCCCCACAAACAGTCTTGTGGGGAAGTCACAACGTGGTTCTCTTTTTACAAATTGGGAGCTGAGGCCGAGTGGTGACTTCTCCAAAGCCCCGCAGCCGTGAGTCCCCAGCAGCTGTTGATGTTCGAGATGTCCTGCAATTGCAAGAGAGAGTCTGAATCTGTTTGTGCAACAGCCAGTGGGCTTGAGATTCCCAGACGGGGCTTCTTGGTCCCAAATCCCTCTTTTGAAGGGTCCAGTTTCTCAGGGTGGAGTTCCATCAGCTCTGGTCTTGGATCTTCTACCCCCACATGAACTTGGAACTGCCTACGTGATGTGTGCCGGGGGTCTGCCTGCAGCACCCCTTCTCTGCCTGCTTTCTTCAGTATTTCTATTTTGAAGGCTCCCCAGGCCCCCGTATGAACCTTCTGCGAACCTGAGACCAGCAGGGTGCCAACATTCAGGGGCAAGACTGGCCTTTATTAAGGGCAGGACTTCAGCAGTAGCTGTCCCTGAGCCCTTCCCTCTGCCATTCACTGGACTCCATCTCTACTGTCTTCATAGATCAGCTAAAATGTGTATTTTTAAAGCAAAAGTTTTAGAAATTGAGACTGCAATCGGTTGATTCTGTTGACCCCTGCCCCGTCTTTCTTGCTGTTTACTTAATATGTTTTTAACATAATGTCTTAGTACTATATTTGAAATTTTCTGATGGAAAGTGAGGACATGATAGAAGCTGATAAGATGATACATTTTGTGGGGAAAGTGGACAGAGAGAACATTTCTCCTACTGGAATTTGGGGGCATCCAATGAAGTCGAAAGCAAGAAATTGCAAGTAGATAAATAGGTACCACTTCTGTGGGAAGGTAACAGCATTTCGTGCGCCTCAGCGTCTAGTCATGCCAGCCACATGACCACGGAAACGTCTTCGGACAGCGCTGGCTCTTTGGCTTGGAAACGGAGATAAGCACCGCAACCCTAGAGTCGGATTCGACTGGCTTTTCAGCAAGGGAAACCTTTGCCTTTACTAATTAAGTTGACAGGCAATAGGTACTAGACGGACACAAAGAAGTACTTCTTTACTCATTGAGCAATCCAAATGCGGAATTCAGTGCTAGAAGATGTGGTAGCCACAGACACAGATAGCTTTGAAAAGGGGGTGGGGGATTCATGGAGGAGCGGTCCATCAGTGGCTACTGGCCAGAGTAACAAAAGGGAACCTCCCCATCTAGTGGCAGCGACCCTTTGGAGACCACTGTGTGGAACAGGACGCTGGACTAGAGGAACCCTCACCGGTCTGATCCAGCTGGGTCTCTTAAGGGATAGGAATGTAATGATTTGTGTGATTTTAAACAAATGGTTTTGCTACCAGTAATGCTGGCCTTTTAAAATGCTGTTTTTGTTGTGAACGTGGTGCTGGTCATAATTCCGCCAGTGGAAGCTCGTGAGTGAGTGGTCCACCCCCCTCTCTGAAGAGGCCTCCCTTTGGGTGTGGCGGGCTGCAGTCATGCCGTGTGCCTTTGCCTTTGCAGGGGTGGCCTCCTGCAACACTAAGAACGGAGCTACTTTCCCACAAGCCTGTCCCAAGTGTAATATTCATTTCAACCTTTTGGATCCCTTAAAAAACCACATGAAGGTAAGGTGTTGTTGTTGTTGTTGTTGTTGTTTTGGTAGCAAGCCAGAATCGTGAATGCGAATGATTTATTGTTACTGATGATACTTGCACTCATGGTTCTTGAGCACTTTGTGGCTTTGCCGAGCTGTCGCCGTGCTGAGGTTTTTGAGTGTGGTTCTTGTTCAGAAGTGAAAAGCAGCTCAGTGTAGGGAGACCGGGAAAGTGCTTGTTTTCTTCCGCATTAAGTGGCTTCTGGGTTGGCACAGACTCCTTGTTCCCTCTAGAATGTGCTCGCGTTTTCCCTAGGCCGGTACAAGCAAACATTTTGAATGAAAGAGCATTGAAATCAGGTGTGGCATTTTCTGTCTGCTGCGTGAGCTTCTGTTTCCAGCAAGAGAACGTTATTGAGAATCCGGGAAATAGTTTAGAAAATATGTATGAAATCCAGCCAGCTAATACGGCCCAGTGCTGTTGCTGCTTACACCCTTGCGAAGAAGCCCGGAGCACAGTGTGTGTGTGAGCGAGAGAGCTTAAATGCACTGTTGCCACGGTGGTTCGTGGGCATTTTGTGAAGGAATCTTACCTGCCAACTCCAGTTTCATTGCCTACATCCTGTCTCGTATGTTTACTTCACTGAAATCAAAGACGGGATCTATCTTGGCCATTGCTAGGTAACGCAAAGAGAGCAGAATGCAGATTTTTATGATTGCTGTCAGAACCCCAGAGCAATCAATTCCCAACAGCAGCCGTTACGAGAATAAAAGTTTATTGAGACATTGAAGGTATCCAGGCTTTTAGCGGTCTTTGTTAGAACTAACTGAAAAGTGCGCAAAGGTAATAATTATACCAAGCCCCCCCCCCAAAAAAAAATTCTAATGGCCTAGAGCCAATTGCACCAAGGTAGGATCCCGCCAGAATATAACGGTTCATTATTCCCAAAGCAAGCTTCATCCCATCACCGTGGCAACCAAACCCGATGCAACGGGTGGGTTGACAATTGCCAGGGGATTTGGGACTCCTGTCAGTATTTGTGCTGGCCATGTCCATGTGTAAGTGAGGACCGTGAGGTTCAGATAACAAGTGACCACAATTCTAGGCGGATGTGCTTGGAAATAAGTCCTTTGGAGCCCGTGGCACTCGCTTTGGTCATTAACCATCTGCTGCTCACGGTGGTTGACGTATCTTGTGTGGTCAAGTGGCAGGTGCCGAGGGGGAAATCATACAGTTATAACCTGGGGGCTAACAGTAGCTTGCAGCAGCCTTCTACTTATTGTCCAAAGAGTGTTTCTGTTGGTTGGTTCTTCCAGTATTGCTGCCCAGAGCTGGTGCACACCTTTCTGGGGTCACCCACGACAGATTCCTCAGGTGCGTCGGCTAAAATTGCTGAATCGGAGAGAGGGAAACTGATCATGTTAGTGAACGACTTCTACTACGGCAAGTACGAGGGCAACATCCAGCAGGTGCATCAGGAGCAGAAGACACACACGACCTTCAAGTGTGCCAGCTGCATGAAGCTTCTCAAAAACAACATCCGGTACGTGTGCGCCCCCTTCCTGGTTGGGTCCATCCCAGAGCCTTTCCCTTGGCCCAGAATGGAGATTGGGAGCGTAGCATTAGTGACTGACGTCTCGGAGTTGCCCCCTGATGGGAAGCTGCTCCGTCGCCTGTTTGGAACCGGTGCCTTTCTGGCTGAAGCGGTCTTAAGGCGCTCCAGAGAGTTCTGACAGTGGCCTCTTTCAGGGATCCCTTTGGGAAGAGAGGGGAAACGTCCTTGCCCGTGAGGGGGCCACTGCCCGTCCTCCCCGCCCCTCTCTGGGGGAGTGGCCCCGCTCGAGTCTGATCGTCTGCCTGCAGGGGGTCATGTCGATGTCCACCTTCTTTTTAAAGTTCCCTTTTTCTCCCCTCAGGTTGCGAGCCCTTCAGGGGAGGGCCTGCCTTTACCAGCAGCAAACACTTGGCTCCGGGGGACGTGGGGCCCCTCCCTCCCTCCCTCCGGCTCGTTCTGATGCCTCTCTCCCTCCCAGGTTCATGAACCACATGAAGCACCACCTGGAGCTGGAGAAGCAGGAGAGCTGGGAGAGCCACACCACCTGCCAGCACTGCTTCCGACAGTTCCCCACCCCCTTCCAGCTGCAGTGCCACATCGAGAGCACCCACACGCCTCACGAGTCCTCCAGTGAGTGCCTGAGTGGACGGGTGGACGGGGCTGAGCTCTTCCCTGGGTCTCTCTCGCTCTCGCTCGCTCTCTGCCCCCGGGGGCCTGCTTCTCTCTCCTGGAGTGAGCTTGCAAGAGGGGCTGCCCGAGGAGCTGTTGACTCTCTTTTCTGCAGATGGCTTCCTGAACCCGAAAGAACTTTATTGGTCTGCCAGGGGCTCCTGGACTCACATCCGGTGGTTCTACTGTGACCAACATGGCTGACCTCCAGTGTTCCCTCTAAGCTGAGTTAGGGTGAGCCTAGCTCACAGTTCTTTAGCCTCCGGCTCACACATTTTTCTTCTTCGCTCAGGAAGGATGGCTCCTGAGCAAACTAACTTATGCGGTAGCCATATTGCTCGCTCACAACTTTAATGACAGTAGCTCACAGAGTAGAATTTTTGCTCACAAGACTCCACAGCTTACACTCTGGTGTCTTTCCTGTAACAATGGCGACTTGAAGTTGGGACTGATGCCCTGCGCCCTCTGTTCAGGAGTACTTAGTTCTATGATGAATGGTCCTAAATGGTGGAGTTGTTCTTCTTCTTTGGGACCGTCCCCAGCTGATAGAGCTTCTCCTCCCAGCAGCGGCTCTAAACTTCCACCCTGGGAAGTGGCTGAGTGGAGCCTTCCCGTCTCTGCATGCCTCCCTCTCACCCACAAGGGAGGAGCTGCATGCTCAGGGCATCCCAAGCAAGGCTCCCTCTAAGCCGTGGAGTCTTGAGCAAAAATTCTACTTTGTGAGCCACTGGCATTAAAGTGGTGAGCGAGCGATTTGGCCGCTGCATAAACTAGTTTGCTCTGGGGCCCATCCTTCCTGAGCTAAGACAAAAAATGTGTGAGCCGGAGGCTAAAGAACTGTGAGCTAGGCTCACCCTAACTCACCTTAGAGGGAACACTGATCCCAAGGTTTTCTGTGTCTTGGCATGCCTCTCGTTCTCCTGCCCATCATGTGAGAACCATAAAAATATTTTGGCTCACAAACTTGGCCCTTGTGCAGGAGAGGAGGTGTCACGTTGGCGTCTGGCAGCAAGGAACTTCCCAGTGCTGGAGCAGAGCGGAGATGCCGCATGCAAAAGCCAGGCGAAACGTGATGCTGTTGGGCTGGATCCTGCAGAACCCTAGCAGAAGACCCTGCTGGTCTGCAATCCTCCCGCCCCTCTTCCCTGGAGCCTTTCGGAGCCCGGGGAGGTTAACTTTTAGGGTGGGGGGTGTTATTGTATGTGTTTTGTATGCATGTCGACAGCCGTGCAGGTGGGAAGGGGGGGGTTGCTCCTTTCTCTCCACGAGTGGAGCTCTGCTCACGTGAGATGCAGGGATAGTGGTCGTGTCCTCTCCTTTTCACCCCGCTGCAGCCTGTGCCCAATTTCTTCACCCCCCGAATTTCCTTTTGTGGGCCTGGAGTGGGCTGGGGTGGGGAGCGTCTTCTGCGGGCACTATGCAGGATCTGCAGCATTTTGCGTGGAGGATCTTATCTCCGATTACCTGAAGTCAAGTTTGATTTCTCTTAGGAGCAATGCTCCCTCTAAGCTGTGGAGTCTCGTGAGCAAAAGTTCTACTTTGTGAGCTACTAGCATTAAAGTTTGTGAGCGAGCAATTTGGCTACTGCATAAATTAGTTTGCTCTGGGGCCCATCCTTCCTGAGCCAAGACAAAAATGTGTGAGCTGGAGGCTAAAAAACTGTGAGCTAGCTCACACTCACTCAGCTTAGAGGGAACAGTGCTTAGAAGAGAACCTGGGGGGGACGGACGTTTTATGAAATGTTGACGAACTGTTCATAGGACTGTCAAAGAGCCCAGTAAAATGGCCAGATCTGCCCTATTCCGTTGCTTTAAAGTCTTAAAGTTTAGTTTTTGGGTTTGTTTTGTATTTTTCCCCCCAGCCGTCTGTAGAATATGTGAATTATCCTTTGAAACGGAGCAAATTCTTTTGCAACATATGAAGGACAATCACAGGCCCGGGGAAATGCCCTACGTCTGCCAGGTACCGCAGAACGTTGTTTTGTGTACACTGAAAATGTCCTTTATGAAAGCTTTTACAGATCAGTCCGTGTGTCTTGTGTGTGTCTAGGTGTGCAACTACAGATCGTCTGCATTTTCAGATGTGGAAAAACACTTCCGGGCTGTTCACGAGAACACAAAAAACTTGCTCTGCCCCTTTTGCCTTAAAGTTGTTAAAATCGGGGCCCCTTATATGCATCACTACATGAGGCACCAGGTAACCCCTTCGTTTTCGGGGATAGGCTAAGGGAAGGCCACACCTTTGGGTGCCAGCTGTAGTGGCTGGGGAGGGGGGCTCTGTGGTCCCCCTCCCCTGGACCCGGATTAAGGGCCGCGATCCGGCTGGAGTCTGCAACACCACGAGTGGCTCTCCGGTGAGGCTCTGCGGCAGCTCCTGGTTCCTGCTGGCCAGTTGGCTTTAGCTGCTCTGAGTGGCGGGAGCGGGTGGCGCCTTCATGGCAGGAATGTGTTGAGCTCCAGGAGCCGGTGGTTGTGCGTCACTGTGGGGTGGGCACGGAAGCCCTGTTACCTATCGCTCACGACATCGGCACTCAGGGTGGCCCCCTTGAGATCTCTCCTTTCATGCTGGTCTGACAATTGCAGATCATCAGCAGATTCCGAATTAACTGTCCGCTGTCTTCTGTTTTGCAAAGAAAAAAGGAGTGCACCGCTGCACCAAGTGCCGGCTCCAGTTCCTGACGTGCAAAGAAAAACTGGACCATAAATCTCAGCATCACCGGACGTTCAGGAAACCCCCTCAACTCGAAGGGTTGCCTCCAGGAACCAAAGTAAGCTCAGCTGTCCTGGCCTTGCCATTGCACACCCGTTGGCTCCTTTGCCTCACTGGGGGTATTCCAAAAAACCAGGGGGGGGGGAGGAAATTAGTGTCACAGGGGTCCATGATATACAAATTCCGCTAAAAGAAACACCATCAGAAATTGCCAAAATATAAACTGTATTTAACAAATATAAAGTTGGTGATGTCACAACAACAAAATTTACTATCACTCTAATAAGGCATAAGACGCGATGTTTCCTCCTTAGAAGACGAGGTAAACTCTATGTAATCAGTGGAACTTGACAGGAGGAGCCCACATAGTCATAACGTTTTCCAGACAGCCTTTGCAAAGACGCCCATTCTAGATACTTGGAAGATGCGTTTCCTTCGGCTTCTTCAGTTTGCCGGCTGTGTAGGTGGAACCTGATTCCAACCATTTCAACAGACCACAAGGTTCATAGTGTAAGGAGCGAATCATATGATTAAGTATCTAGTCTTTTGCAAAGGCTGTCTGGAAAACGTTATGACTATGTGGGCTCCTCCTGTCAAGTTCCACTGATTACATAGAGTTTACCTCGTCTTCTAAGGAGGAAACATCGCGTCTTATGCCTTATTAGAGTGATAGTAAATTTTGGTGTTGTGACATCACCAACTTTATATTTGTTAACATGGTTACATGGACTTTACGTCTTGTCTTCTAAGGAGGAAACTTCGCATCTTATGCCTTATTAGAGTGATAGTAAATTTTGGTGTTGTGACATCACCAACTTTATATTTGTTAAATACAGTTTATATTTTGGCAATTTCTGATGGTGTTTCTCCTAGTGGAATTTGTATATCTGGGATCACCGGGGAGATCTCGGCTGAGCAGAGGCCGTGCCTGCCGATGTGGAGGTTATTCCCTGGGTGCCCCGTGGCCACAACCCCAGACCCACGGGAGAATCCCTGAATCCCATTTGCCTGATTCTTAAGTGACGGCAAGCCCTGATGCTTGAGAAGGCGGTTTCTGGCAGGCGGGCATCCCACCTGCGTGGGAGAGGTGAACTGATGATGGCAGTGCCATGAGAAACAGGAGTCCGTAAATCTGTTCTGTGAATCTGGGGGGGGAGGGGAGACCACGGGTAGCAGCATGTGAGAATCCAGCACTGTTTAGAAGCAGGATCAGGACCAGCTCTGCAGGGGAGATTTCAGTCTGGTGTGGTTTTGTCCCGTGTCGCTCCTGGGGGCCCTTCCCGTCCGGCGTCCGCCCTATGCTTGGAGGTGGGGCAAGTGTCAGTCAACGCCCGGCCGGTTTCCTTTCACCAACTGTCTCCTGTTGGAGTCCAGTCCCAGGGGAGTGGCTTCAGCCTTTCCCGATCCTTGTAAAGTGTGCGACGTGTCTGTAGAGGCGGGACTCCAGGCAGGTCCGTGGGAGTCTGTGTGGAGCTGCCCTGCTTGGCTTCGATGTTGGGGCGGGGTTGGCTGAGCCGGGAGTCTCCCGTTGCAGGGTGGCCGGCCAGCCCCTCCCTCCCTCCCTCCAAGGGTGGCCCTGCTGACCCTGACTGTGCTGGAGACGGTTCCCTCTCCGCTCACACGGAAGCGCAGGTCTGTGCGGCGAGAAAGGCGGTGGCCTTCCCTGTCTGGAGAGGCGCTTGCCGGACCTCCTCTTCTCATCCTAGGTGACTATCAGAGCTTCCGCTGGGTCTATTCCGCCTGGATCGGTACCCGCCACGCCCGTTGTTGGCCCCAGCACGTCCACTTTACAGTTGTCTCCCCATGTTAAAGCCACAAACACTAAGAACTACAATAAACTGAATGTCAGCAAGGGAAAGCCCAAGCCAAAGCCCTGGAGCAAAAGGCTGAGCACGGGGACCAGCGGCCTCAGCAGCGGCGGTGGCAGCGGCAGTGGCAGCGGCAGCAAAAAGAACAACAAGATTGCAAACACGGCATTAAATAATCTCCGGTAAGTCTTCCTCTTGTCCCTGGGGTGAGGGCAGTGTTCCCTCTAAGCTGAGTTAGTGTGAGCTAGTTCAGTTTTTTAGCCTCTGGCTCATCCGTTTTTGTCTTAGCTCAGGAAGGGATGGCTCCAGAGCCGACTAATTGATGCGGTAGCCAAATTGCTTGCTCACAACTCTAATGCCAGTAGCTCACAAAGTAGGATTTTTGCTCACAAGACTCGACAGCTTAGAGGGTGCATTGGGAGGGGGTTTGCCCAAATCCCCCCCCCCCGGGCAGGAATCCAGAGCCTCCCAGACGCGGCTCTCGGGGGCACTGCAGTAGCCCAGCCGGGAGGTCCCAAGTGAGCCACATCCTGCTCCTTGGGAGATGGTGGCTGTGGACAGAAGCTCCGCAGCTCAGGGCCTTGCAGACTCTGGGCTGGCAGGAGGCTCTGGCAGGCTGGCTGACAGGGCAGCGCCCCCCCCCCGGGACATGCAGAAGGGGCGCTGAGCCAGTGCCGGAGAGGGGCCAGCGCCTGCAAGTGCACAGTCTCCCAGCATCTCTCGCAGAACACCCAGGACTGGTGCTGCTCTGGCTGCTTGGTCCAGTCCTACCTCTGCTCCTTGCTGTTGCTGCCGGAGACAGGCTGAGAGGCCAGGACTGCTGTGTGTAGGAGAGAGGGTCTTTGCCCAGGGGCTTCCCTCTGTCGGGGAAGAGGGCAGAGAGGAAAGAGAGGAGCCACTGGAGTGGGGACTGGGAGTGACTCTGTGGCTCAGAGCCAGAGCCTCTGCTTGGCATGCAGAAGGTCCCAGGCTCAATCCCTGGCGGGATCTCCAGTTAAAAAGGACCAGGCAGGAGGGGATGAGGAAGACCTCTCTGCCTGAGACCCTGGAGAGCCGCTGCCAGTCTGAGTAGACGATGCTGACTTTGATGGACCGAGGGTCGGATTCCGTATGAAGCAGCTTGGTGTGTGCCCTGATGCTTGAGAAGGGGAGGGCCTGTGGCTCAGTGACGTGCAGAAGGTCCCGGGTTCAACCCTGGACATCTCCAGTCAAGTGGACCAGGCAGTGGGTGATGGGGAAGACCTCTCTGCCTGAGACCCTGGAGAGCAGAGCTGCCGGTCAGAGCAGATAGTCCTGACCCTGGTGGACCGAGGGTCTGGCTCTGTAGAGGGGCAGCTCCATGTGTTCCTCCCGGAGCTTCCCACCGGTCACATTGTTGGATGTTAAAAACATGCCCCAAGCACTTGGGGCGCTTCCCCCCCCCATTCCTAGGGTACCCTCTCGTGCCGTGCTGACCCGTGTTCCCTCTAAGGTGTGGAGTCTTGTGAGCAAAATTGCTACTTTGTGAGCTTTACTGGCATTATAGTTCTGAGCGAGCAGTTTGGCTACTGCATAAATTAGCTTGCTCTGGAGCCCTCCTTCCTGAGCCAAGACAAAAGTGTGTGAGCCGGAGGCTAGAAAACTGTGAGCTAGCTCACACTGACTCAGCTTAGAGGGAACACTGGTGCTGACCCCGACTCCAGAGAGTCCCTGAAAGGGGCTTATTCTTTACGAGTTCGCCCAGGTGTTCGTCTGACTCAGCAGAAAGACCCTCTAGAGTGGGATCGGCAGTCATGCGCCTTGGGATCCTGCCCGGTGTGATTTTGAGGAACCTCATTTCCCTCGCATTCTTTAATGGGCTCTGCGGAGAAAGGCTATTTTGTGGGTGTGTTTAAGTGGGTGTGGGCCAGATAGGAGGAGGCTGTCAAACTGGGGGTAGGCCTGGGCCTAGCCTCCTCCTCATTCCTCCCCCCCCCTCCCTGGTCTCCAACCAGCCACGTGAGGGCAGCTCCCGGGAGAGGTCAGGAAGTCCACCATGGGGGTGAGGAGATCTGCCCCAGAATGATGCAGGAAGGAGAGCCACTTCCTGGGCGGGAGACGGCTGTTTCTTAGGTATTGTGGAGCTTTTGGGCGGGAGGCCGGTTCACGTCAGTCCGTCAGAAGTCTGGAGCCAGTCGGACGGGTGGTTGGGTGGAGTCTGCAGGAGGAGGCAGAGGGACCATGCTGGGAGACGTGCTGATCTGACCTCCTCCAGTGAAGTGAGGTCCTGCGCCTGCCCTGCAGACCCTCCAGACGGAGCCTGAGTGCGGAGAAGGGGCGGGGGGAGACGGGGCATCTTGGCCACCCTTTGTTTTGAGTCTCTCGTCCACTGTGGAGACGCCTGTAAAGAGTTAAGTTCTTGAATAAATCCTTTTTGCTGTTCACGGCGAGACGTCCCTCTGTACCGTATAGCTCTCTCCCCCCCCCCCAGCCGCTTGGGCACGCCAGGGATGGGTCAGGGACCCCCTAAGGAGGAGAACCAGGGCAAAGTGGCCAGTTTCCAACTCTCCAGGGGAGCCCTGAGGATTGCCAGGAAGCCCCAAGGCGGGTTCCTAGTGAGGGAGGTCAGGAGGCTGCCCCGCCTCACCAGGGCCCTAGAGAGGGGCATCGGTGGCAGCAATACCCAGAGACAGTGGGGAAGAACGGCCCCTTCAGGTGCAAAGGAGGGCAAAGGAGGGGTGGGCAGAGCGGGGCCCGCCAGCTGGCGTAGGGCCATCCCGCCACAGACTCGAAACGGGACTTCTTCTTGCCCTCCGGGGGGTTAATGTTCTCCTTCTGGCCTTGCTCTTCCGGCAGATGTTCGGAGATCCAGAAGTGCATCGAGTGTTCCGCCGACATCCGGACATTTGCCAGCCACTTCCCCGCTTACGTCCACTGCAGCCTGTGCCGCTACAGCACGAGCTGCAGCAAGGCCTACGTGAACCACATGATGAGGTAGGGGGGCCCTGGCCAGGCGAGCGAGGAGGGGGCCGTCGTGGGGTTCGGCGGACTGGGCGGCGGTCATTCAGGCCCATAGAAATCAACTCAGAAATATTCTGTGTTTCCTTGCAGCTTTCACAGTGCCCGTCAAAGTAAACGGTTTTGGATTTATAAAGCTCGTTCTGAAGAACTGAGGTAAGGATCTCCCAATCTCCTCCTTTTGGTGTTCGTTTTGGGCAACTCTGTTGGTGTTGTCCTGGGTTTACAACGTATGCAGGTGTAGCTTAACTTTCAGAGCAGAACTTCACACACGACTCGGAACCTCTCTTAACGATCGTTCTTTGGCGTGATCGCCCCCCCCCCCCGGGCTGAAGTTGGCTTTCTAGCCATCTTGGCAGCTTTGAGATCCCTGGCACTGAGGGTGTTTCTGGAGGCCGCCGTTCAGGCTGTGGTAGGAAAGCTACGAAACACTTCTGGAGGGGGGGGGGGCACAGGCAGCTGTATGTAGCCACAGTGAGCACTGCCTTCCCCTGGGTTCTTTCCAGATTTCAAGAGTTCTCCCTCTGAGAGGAGGACATCTTGCTGGGTGCTTCCCACCCTATCCTTAGGGAGGCAGGATTTGTGCTTCTCGGGGCTTCTTTATGAAATGCTTGGAAAGGACGGCGCGTGATGAAAATATGTGCTTCTGTGAGCCGGCCAGGTTGGAATGGCTCGTGCTGCAGACTGCACCAGGAGGAGAGACTCTTTGGTAACCTCTTCTCACTTGTACTCATGGCTGCCTTCTCTCCCCCCCCACCCCCCAGGGGCACCACTACGTTTTGTCTGAATTGTGATTATGTGACGGATGATTCCGGGTTAGACAAGATGGCCACACACTTGAACGAGCGCCAGTATCACCGGTGCCAGGTCATTGTGGAAAATGGTGGGTGCCTCTGACATGTCTGCCGTTGCTCCCCAAAGACTGGCAGGCCGGTTTGTGTTGAAAGGAAACCGTTGTCTATTGTGTTGCAGTGTCCTCGGAGGATGTGGCTACCGAAGATCTTTCTGAGTAAGTTGCTGATTTTTAAAAATTGGCAGTCGGGTCGGGGGGGGGTTGGGGCTTTTTGGAACAGCACACCCACCTGAGGAGGGGCGGGGGTAGTCAGACTCCCGGAGAAAAGTGAAAAGTCCAGCAGACGCCCTTATGGGGCTGCTTCTTTGTGACGGTAGTCGTTTCCCGTGCGGCCATCGGCTCCGCCCCCTTCTCTGTATGCTCAGCTGCCAGGCGGGAGAAAAGCGTGTGCTCTTCTCATGGGGGCAACACTTGCACTTCTGACAGATCCATCCTGCAAAGGGCTCTGCGCAGAGGTTCGCTTCAGAGCCTCTCTACAGAGCCTCTGTGCCTTGGTGAGAAGGCGCTCGCGGTGCCCACCCTCGAACAAGTCAAAAGCGGGCAGGGGAGGAGGCCGCGTCCTCAGTGGAACCGGGGCCGCTTGTACTGCTGTAGCTCAGGGCCCCGGGATCGTGTGAGTCGTGATTAATTCCATGACTCCTCAGGTGTCCGAGGTGCACGTCCGGGCTGCAGCGGATTAACAGTCCCTTAACTGCATCGACAAAGAAGGTGCAGCTAGCAGCAGTTTCTTGAACAGCCTACTCAGTGTCAGGGCTTGACTGGGGGCACACATCGAGCTCTCTCGGCTGCTGGGCACCTCTTTCTTTAACGCAGGGAATCAATCGTGGTGGGTGATAAGGGGCTTGTTTTCATGTGGGCCTGGAAGTCGATACCTCTAAATGAGGCACACGGCTGCTCTCGAGGGCGGGCCTGCGGTCTGAGGAACCCACGCGTCCCGTGGCAGTCTGAGGTCTGAGCTGTCGCTCGTTCCGGGTGGTAAATGGCAAAGCTCAAATAAAGTGGTGGTATTATGGGAAATATACGTGATGAAGCACCCCCAACAAACACTGGAGGTGCCTTGGAAATGATGAAGGGGATGGAGGAATACTGCTGCTGCTGCTGCGGCTGGCTCTTTCTCCCCCGGTTATTTTTACTCTGGTATAAAAATAAAAAGAAACCAGAATGCACGCTTCTGACGGTTAAATGTGTTTGTATATAGATATGTACAAGTGTGTGGGGGGGGGCTGTGAGAATGTGTCTGTGTGTGTGTGGCTCATTCCCCCTTCCCCTCTTCTCCCTCTGGCTTCTCCTCTTTCCGTACCCCTGGCAGTGCCCCCCCCCAGCTCCCCCTTCCTTTTCCTCCCGGTTGGGCAGGAGCATGAATAGCAGAGGGGGCTGGCTAGCCTCAGGAAGGGGGCATTCAGGGGAGGGGAGGGGGCTTTCCTCGTGGAAGGAGAAGAGCAGCTGCCCCCGCCCGCACCGGGGGCTCCAGGGGCAGAACACCACTGGAGTTGGGCAGATGATGGTGTCCCAGAGACGGTCAGCGGAAAGCACACACGGGCAACCAACCTCACACCTGTTCTGATGCTGACGATGGGCTTTTGTTCCATTCCTCAGCCCAACGGACGGCGCGTCCTTAAGCAATGAAGGCGAAGATCAGTCCCAGGTGAAGTCTTTTTCTGCACCCTCACTCCTCGCTTGTATTCAGAAGTGTGTACAGACATGTTAAGTTTTATTTCTGGACTTGCACAATCACGCCCAGGGGTTGGCAGGCTTCCTGACTTCGGGTGCCGAGTTATGATCCTCTCAGGTGCCCGATGGGCTTGTAAACCCAGCTGAAAGGTACCACCGCTGCTCTCCCCTCGGGAGGCTTCTCTCTCGCTTCCTCTGACACCAAGAGATCCGGTGGCAGATTAGCCCTGCCGTCCTCGAGAGGTCCCCCCAGTCCCCTCGTTTTTTGGGGGGAGGCTGGCTCTGCCTTCACGCCTGAGAACTCTGGAGGGAGGGAGGGAAACATCTTGGGGGTGCAGTGGGGGGGGGGGGAGGGAAGCTGCTTTCGGGACGGCAGCCTCGGCCATTGTGTGTCCTTTGGAAGTTTGCTGCTGCTCTTCCTATCCTCCCCTGGCTGCTGAGCCCAGCGGCTTCCCCTGCTGCGGTCTCTGGCCTTGGGTGGTCTCAAGCCCTGCCTTCTCTGCCCCCGTTGCCAGCTGTGCTTTTGGGGGGTGGGCCTGGGTGGGAGAGGGGGAAGAGTAGCTGCCTGTGCCCAGCCCGGCTTCTGCCTAAAGCCACTGGGCGTGAAAGCCTCTGTTTTGCCCTGCATTCCAGAACCTCCTTTCCAGACCCGATCCCCCCGAAGGGCAAGAAGGGACACCCTCGGCTCCTGCAAGGTAAGCAGGAGGACTCCACTCCTCCAAAGGTCCGGGTGGGGGGCCCTGCCGGTCTGCCTGCAGCTGTGGAAGAGCGCCAGAGTCCAGGAGCACCTACAAGACTAGTACCATTCACGGTTTCCCCAAGTCACGGCTCACTTAGCCACGGCAGGGACTCCCGAGAGCTCCTTCACCGGCCACAGGTGTTGCTAGTCTGTAAGGTGCTCCTGGACTCTGGCTCTTTCCTGTTCCTCAAGAGGGGAAGCATTGTGTCGCTGTCCATGCTGGTGGAAGAAGGGCTTCCCCTCCCCTCCCCTCCCCTCCCCTCCGGAGGTGGGAAGGCTTCACGCTCCGGCTGGTCGCGGTGTCCAGAAGCACCTTTGTGGGGAGAGGTTCACTTCCTTCTCAGCAGCCCCGATGCTTAGAGGGGATCAGAGCGTGGTGAGGAATCCCTGACGGGTGGCAGGAGGAGGGGAGCGCAGACGTTCAGCCTGGAACCAGGTCCATGCTTGAACGAAACCTCTGTACCCACGGGGTTGTGGGGTTTTTTTTATAGCACAGAGGGGTTGAAATCTCCAGGGCTGTGGCTGTTAACAGGGCTGATCAACAGTCCTGTATGCTGGATTAGGCCTGAACGCCCATAAGCACAAACCGTGTTCTGGCAGAGCGGGCCAGGCTCTCTTTGGGCCAGCCGTTGATCCCCCCAGGCAGCTGCCGGGGCGGCGGCTACCTGTCTGTCATACCTATGGCACATGCACGCCTTTCCATGCCGACCCTGAGCCAGCCTTCTGGTTCCGGTGAGTGCCTTCAGGCTGTATCCAGTCACAATTGGACACGTTCCTTGCTCTGGGATGTAAAGAGCTACACATCTACGGAAGTGTGGTAGGACCCCCAATGGAGCTGTCTGTCTCACAGGGAGGGAGGGAGCCATTTGGGGTGTCTTCTGCCCTGAGAGACTGTGTGTTTCCACAGCGGTGGCAGCAGGGATGCACAAAACCAACAGCCCTACATGGGTGTTTGAAACTCAAGTCCTGAGTCCTCGCTGTTTACAGCGGCGGAGTTTACGGGTCGTCAGGAAAGTCAGAAATATGCAGCACAGAAGTTTCCTGAATGGTTTTGAGTCAGACTCTGGGATATTGTATGATGGGGTCAGCTGGTCTGCTTTGCCTTTTTCAGCCCAGTGACGAAAAACTCTGCGGAAGGGACAGATAAGGCCCAACTTGATCCAGGGGATGAAACGTCTTCCGCTGATCAACAGGAAGAGAAGGCCCCTCACCCAAGTCAAGACCACCCACCCAGTCCGGTACCCTCGGCCCCATCGGAAGAAGGGAGCGAAGGCTGCCTCGAAGGCCAGGAGGCTGAAGGCGCTGCAGCAGCTGGGAGTGGGGAGCCCGCGTCTCCTTCAGCACCCAGCCCCCCCTCTGGTCTGGGAGGCCAGACCTTCTCAGAAGGCCCTGCGGAAGGTGGAGAGGCGGGCCAGACTGGGAATCCGCTGGCTGAAGGCGCTGCAGCAGCTGGGAGTGGGGAGCCCGCGTCTCCTTCAGCACCCAGCCCCCCCTCTGGTCTGGGAGGCCAGACCTTCTCAGAAGGCCCTGCGGAAGGTGGAGAGGCGGGCCAGACTGGGAATCCGCTGGCTGAAGGCGCTGCAGCAGCTGGGAGTGGGGAGCCCGCGTCTCCTTCAGCACCCAGCCCCCCCTCTGGTCTGGGAGGCCAGACCTTCTCAGAAGGCCCTGCGGAAGGTGGAGAGGCGGGCCAGACTGGGAATCCGCTGGCTGAAGGCGCTGCAGCAGCTGGGAGTGAAGAGGCTGCGTCCCCTTTAACGCCGAGCCCCACCTCAGGTCTAGGAAGCCAGACCTTTGCAGAAGAGCCGATGGAAAGTGGAGAGACGGGCCAGACTCGAAGTCCACTGGCTGACAGCTCTGCAGCAGCTGGGAGTGAAGAGCCCGCGTCTCCTTTAGCGCCAGGATCCCCCTCTGGTCTAGAAGGCCAGACCTTTGCAGAAGAGCCGATGGGAAGTGGAGAGGTGGTCCAGACTGGAAGTCCGCTGGCTGAAGGGGCTACAACTGCAGAGGGAGGAGGAGAAGGCTCCTCTCCGTCTGCTTCAGGAGAATGCTCCGGCCCACGACTGTCTGCCTGCTCAGAAGACCCAGGAGAGCCCGCCAAAGAAGGAAGCCTTCGGAATCAGCTGGCTGAAGGGGCCGTCGTGGCCGAGGGTGGAGAAGAGGCATCTCCTTCCGTTCTCGAGCACTCTGCCAGTCCCAGACTGGCAGCCCACTCAGAGGACCTTCCCCAAGTCCCTGCAGGAGAAGGAAACACAGACAGCCATGAGGATCGGGTTGCCGGAAGCCCCGCAGTCGATGAGTGCGAAGGAAACGCATCCGTGGCAGAACCCTCCTCTGGCCTGGCGCCCTCAGCTTCCTCAGAAGACCTTGGAGCCTCTGCAGAGGAAGCGGAGAGCTCTGGCCATCGGCTTGACGAAAGCTGTGCGGCTGCTCCGTGTGGAGGAGGCGTGGCTCCTTCCACTCCAGAGCCGCCCTCTCATCCTGGGCTGCCGGCCTGTTTGAAGAACCCCGGGGCGACTGTGGAGGAGACTCCGGGGGGCCACCCTGAAGGGGAGGCAAAGGAAATGCCTGTGGCTGCTGAAAGTCTCGAAAGGGTGGCTGCCTCCCTCGTAGCAGCAGGCTCCTCGGATGCGGGGCTCCAGGCTCCCTCGCAAGGCTCCGAAGACCCAGTCGTCGCCCAGGACAGCCCCGGAAGGGAGACGGAGCAGAGCGAAGGGAGCTCATCTGTGCCGGCTGCTGGAGACGGCTCCGATCCAGGGGCTCCGCCCAACGATGAAGAAGGGGCAGGATGTGACGCCTCGGAGACAGGAGACCAGACGGGCGAGAGGATATCCAAAGGGCCCACGGGAGACCACCCCTGCTCCAGTTCCGAGGACCAGCAGCCAGTGTCTGATGTGGAGGAGGAGGAGGCTGAGCTAGAAGACGTGGACGCCGACCCCTCCGGGCGGGCCTCCGACAGCGACGTCAGTTTCGAGCAGTTCTTGAGGCGCCAGGACGAGCCCGAGTCGGTGAGTTCGGACGTGAGCGAGCAAGGCAGCGTGCACCTGGAGCCCCTGACCCCTTCGGAAGTGCTCGAGCACGAGGCCACAGAGATCCTCCAGAAAGGCGGCCCGGTGGCCTCGTCATCTAAGACGTCCGGGCCGGGCTCCGAGCAAGCAGAGGCCGGAGCGTCTCGAGAGGGCAGCCCCAGCCACGGGGAGGCAGCGGCCAGCCCAGCCGAGGAGAGTGCCACGGACGCCAGCTGAAGCAGCGGCACCGGTGCGAGGGCCATGCGAGGGCCCGACAGCAAAACGGCGGCTGCCCTTCACGGACGCAGTTTGTGACAGCTGGAGAGAGAATCACAAGTGACATTTGCAGGCCCCGTGACACCAAGGAAGCAAGCCGAAACCAGCCGGCCTGCCTGCAGTAATCTCACCTGAGAGGCCAGGAGGAAACCATACAGTTTGTTTGTTCCGTTCCAAGTAAGTTCCCTGTAGACCTGTGTTGTTTGTTTGTAGTCCCGCTGGAGTGATTGTGCTCCACGCAGAGCGTTTGGCCTGCTCTCAAGTCTGGAGGAGGATGCGCTCCGGACGGACGGACGGGGTGTTGCATCCCTGCCCTGTGGAAGCCTGCCGGGGGGGCGGGGGCTGCTGCAGCACTAGTCTGCACCTCTGGATCGGTGTGATCTGCGAAGGAGATCGGCTTACCTTAAGCTTTCAGTGAAAGTGGAATTTCCGTGAGACAGGTCGGGTGGGTTTCCCAGCGTGCAAGCTGTGCGGGAAATAGTCTGGCACACTCTCTGTAGGAACGTTGACGCTCCCTGGCCTGCGTCTTTTGAGGTGGGGACTGTTTTGAATATTTTTATCAGCAGCAGAACCCCCCCCCCTCAGAAACCCCAAGCCATCGTTGAAAGGCAGAAGAAAAGACCTGAACTGGAAATGCATAAAGCTGTTACAGAAACAGAAAGCAGGAGCTGAGACATCAATTGTGGGGAGGGGGGGTGGATTTTGGCATGAAAATCATTTTGATACGTAGTTAGGTGAAGGAATGCATCCAATGACTTAATGGTAGCTTGTGTTTAAGTATTAATTAAAACACTCCATTTGGACCTTTTAGGAAGTTCTTTTGACTTGTTGTTTTTGGTTTTTAATGAACATTAAATGTTTTGGAACATCCATTAAGACCCTGAGATGTACATATTTTGGAGTAAATATTTGCAAGAAAACGTGACCTGTTTTGCTGTCCATGTGTTTCCTTCCATGGTATCCCACCAGTCTTGTGTTTGGGGGGGGGATTGTCCTGACTGCGCAGCCCCCCCGTTTGGTTCAGACGGCGCATGCTGCTTGGAGAGGGGAGTCCTTCTGAGTGTGACGGGATTTCCTGCCTCGAAGCCAGCTCCTGGGGCCCCGGTTTCAGCAAGGAGGCGTGTAGCATCCCAGGTGGCCCAGGAGAGCGGGGCTGCCTTTCGGAATGCCTCCCCAGGTTTCAGAGAACTCTTTCACCGCCTTCTCCCAGGTTTGCTATATCACTGCATCCCACCGCAGTAGAGTCCAGGAGCCCCATTTTTCTTCTGCATAACCTTCCCCAGGCCCATTTTCTGTTGGGAGCTTGCATCGAACTTGGCTCACAGTGAGAGTGACTGGACTGGTGGCAGGCCATCAGTCAGCCTCCCCTCCCCTCCCCACGTGTGGGTGCCCATGTGCAAACAAGCATGTTTGTCTCATTGGAAGACTTTGGACAGAACAGACCTGCATCTGGACAGTGGACGGGGAGGGTTTGCCGAGGCCCTGGAGAAATCCGGGACTCGTTCTGGTCTTTTCCTGAGAAAGGGAAGGATTGCACACGCCTCCGCCTCCCCCTGAAGGCCAGTTGCCTGGCTCTGGCGTGGGGTGGGGTCCTGCAGGGCTCCCCGCCGGCCCCAGAGGCAACTTGGGCTGGAAGGGCAAGGGAAGGGCAGTCAGGGCTGGAGCACCATCAACGGCAGGAGGCGGGAGGAAGGCAGCTTAGTCCGTGGCCCCAAACTCACAGACCACAGCCAGCTGTTGCATGAGGTGAGCTCGCTCACGGCAGGAGCTGTTCTCAGCGGACCGTGCCTCCTGTTCATTAGTGGGTAGGGGCCGCTTTGCCATCCGGGCCTCCCTCCGAACTGCGAGGACCTGCGGCTCAGCCAGCTCAGTAGCATAATTGCTTCTGGCAGAAGGTGTCCGTGCGGGAGAGACAAGGGTGCGCCTTCCTTTGTTTACAGCCGGCATCTGTCTGTGAACACGAGACAGGGTCTCCGCTGAGCTCCCTCCAGGCTAACTAATTTGGTAATGAGCAGCGACAGCTCCGTGCGCGGTAGCCCAACCAGCGCCTGAAACCGTAGCATCTCTGGAGGAAGGGATTTTTTGCGGCATGGAAGAGAGGAGGAGATGGAATTGGGCCACCTTCAGCTTGGATGAAACATTTTGCAAAATTGATCACAAATGAGTTCAGCCGAGGGCTGTGTAAAAATGTTCCCAGTCTCCTGAAAATTAAATCCAAGGGCCTTCTTGTCAGTGAAACATGAGAGGTTTATTAACGACTCGGCAGAAACGGGGAGCCAACGCGGGGGCTTTTATCCGATGCAATTTTTCTCCCTAATCGGAACTGTGTGTATGCGGTGGAGGCTTCAGAACATCTGGATGGGGTGATTTGTTTTTCCTTGCTTGCACCTGCAAGCATCAGGATGCACATAAACAAAAAAGAAATTAAATCTTTCATAGAGCAAGATTGGGAGGCGGGGGGGGGGCAGCTCCAGTGAGCCCTGCTGCTCAAGGGAGTCTTCTGACAGGCCCCGGGCTGTAAACACGCCGGCGAGGAGAGACACGTAATTCTTCTGACAAGGGCCGCTGGTGGCACCGCGCACAGCCTCAGCAGATGCCCACATTCCAGCAGAGGAAGCCGGGAAGCCTGTGATGCAAATCATCATCGGAAAAGGCTCCCAGCCCACCGGCCTCCTTGCCTCTAAAAATAGCCCACAGAGCGGGAAGAAGAGCTGGTGTTTCATTCGCCTGGTTTTTGGCATTCTCAAACAGACTCCCTGGGTGCAGGTGGCAGTGCCCGTAGGCCGAGGGACACTGTCCAAATCTCAAACATGCAAACTGCTTGTGAGCCTCGGCTGGGCCTCCCAGAAGGACTTAAAAACAGAAAATAATTACGATGGGTGTGTGTGAATTGTGGGTGGCTCGGGCTGCAGAGCCCCTCTGGGTGGTGACAGAGAACTGGGTGCTGCTGGGTCTCTCCCCCAGAAACCTCAGAGCTGTGTCCCCCCCCCTCCCCAGTTCAAGGGCATGCGGTGGGAGGAGCGGACACACAACCATTTCTTATTTGGGGTTCTTTGCAACAAAGTGCCACCTCTCTAATCTCCTGTGCAGGCCGGCACAGACTTTTAACTTTTTAAAAAACGCCGCATTGCCATTAAGAATTTATGGGAGGGGTGGCGCTTGGAGAGGCTTAATGGCTTCCGCACTTCATCCCCTGCCTCCGAGGCGGCTGAATTATTTAGAGCGGCCTCTCCTTTTAAGCTATAGATCTGCATTCCAAATGCTGCTGGCAATTGGGAAGTCTGAGTGCCAAAACATCTGTAAATAAAATTGGAAGCCCCCAAAGAGTCCAGTTGATCTGGGCATTAGCTGGCGAATTATCCACAGTCCGGGCGGCTGTTTCTGCAGTCTTTATTTATATACAGAAAGCCACAGTTGGCAAAGAAGGGGGGGGGGAACCAGCCAGGTAAATCCAGGCATGACAGGAGGATGAAGTTCCTTGGGGGTAAGGGGTGAGCTCCTGGGGGGGGGGCGCAAAGAGCAAAACGCGGGAGGGCCCAGGAGACCACCAGCACGCCTCCTCCGACCCAAATGTTGGCCTCCTGGGCAAACGTCTCCAGGGCTGACCCGCCAGCATTGCTACAAAGCACCTGCCCTCCTTTCCCTGGCAGGGATGGCGTTATTCCAGCGGCCACGGTCCAGCAGGGACTTCTAGGTCTGCTTTTCTCGGAACAGTTTCTCCCGCACGCCTCCGCCCCCTCCCCGCTTGGCGCCCTCTGCTGCCGAGACGCGGGGCTGCCGCCGCTGAACCAGGACCCCAGAGGACGGCCGCTGGCTGGCCTCTTCGGAGGGGCGGCACCGTCGGCAGCTGCGCAAAGCCACGCCACGCCCCTCCCGTGGCCGCCTGCTGCAACAGCCCTGCAGGGTAGGCCGGTGGGGGCCCCCTAGAGGTGCCAGTTCTGGGCTGGGCAGTGCCTGGAGAGGGGCGGGGCACAACGCCACGGAGCAGCCCTTTCCTCCAGGCGGACGGGTCGTGGTCACCTGGAGGTCACCTAGAACAGCGGGAGGTCTCTAGGTGCCACCTGGAGGCTGGCAACCGCAGCCAGGCGGCTTCCCGAAGGCCAGAGGCGCCGCGTGCATCCCCGGGGGCCGCTGCAGGGAGGGGGAGGCCACCTTTGCGCGCCCCCCCCCCGGCCTTTTGCTTTTAAAACAACAGCAACACCCA